CTTCTCCTCCTCCTCTTTCTTCTGCTCGCACATTGACGTTTGTTTCGTTATGTGGTGTACAGCTATGCTACAAAATTTGCGTCCTCTGACCCAAGATATCCAATTTCAGCAAACCCGTAGTTAGTCGAATTTTACGACCTGAATGTTGATTGGTAGTGGTTCGTTTCTCCAAATCCACCCCTCCCCTCCCGCACCGCTCCCTGTGCCCTCACAAAGTACACAGAATGTCTTTGGAAAGATGCGAGGTCTCAGTATTGTTTACGCGACTCGCTTGCAGGCATTGTGTAATAGGCGTATATAAGCAGCTATGAATTTTGCTTCTGGGTTCCAGTGTCCTAGTTTGTGGATAATTTAGTGAGCAGAAGAAATTGAAGAAGCAGAAGAAGTAGAAGAAAAAGAAGAAGAAGAAAAAGGAGAAGAAGAAAAAGAAGAAGAAGACGAAGAAGAAGAAGAAGAAAAAGAAGACGAAGGAGGTTGGGTGGAGAATGAGGAAGCGGAAGAGGAGGATGGACAAAATTGAGATTCGAACAACTGAACAATTTAAAACTAATAAATACCACTAGTTTTTGTAGTCCCTCAATACATAAGCCACGGCTTATGAGGTTGGACAGAATAAGTTGCCATGCACAAATTGCTGGGCTTGCGCTATGTTGCGGGGGTGTCAAGGTTAGTGACCACATCGCATTTTAATAGTTGTTGTCACCGGACGGCGATATCGCTTGTTCTATATTACAGGATGTTAGCGCTTTTAACGGTTCAAGAAAACGGATCCGGAAACGTAAGTTTTATCCCCCCCCCCCCACCTCCCACCTCCTCCCACAATCACACACAAACACGCAAAACACAAAATTGTATATGAAATCATCAGTAAACAGTCTCGCACTAAACATTCAACTCAGTAGCTGAATAGTGGAACTTTTTGAGCCCTAGTCCAGAACTGGGGAAACTTGCTTTAGCCAAACTTAGGTGGAAATAAATAAATTGTCAAGGCATAAGCCATATTCGCCCTAGCCGGCGATATCCTGACAATTTACTCCCATGTCATAGGCCAATATGCTATAGACTATGGGCGACTTTGGCCGAAAGTCTGAAGCATTGCGGTGAAAGTAATATAGACCCTGCATTGCCTATCTCGGGTTATTGTACAGCGTCTTACAACACGCGTAAATGTTGTTTAATCGATCAGTCAATCAGGTGACAACTCCACAATAAAGATTGGCTACCATTGATCTCCAAAATTCGTCTCTTGTCATTGTAATACACACACTCTTTAAGACTGCTGTTCTTCAAGTTCTTGATGTCCCCCCCCCCCCTTTTCCCCCAAATCTGTATCGTTGTCCACCTCTCGCCCTCAATCCTTCTTTCCCGTGTGACTTTTAAAAGAGTGTCATGTATTTTATTGTGGTCAATATATTTCCATTACCGCCGATTGTTGTATGTTTGCAATGTTTTACTTCTCTACCAGCAGTTAACTCTATAAGCAGCCCAGCAACACAAGCACAACAAACAAATGCTACGGAGGAGTTATCGACGTTTGCAACAACAGCCACTACAGACGCTACAACCACTGCCAAATCATACCAGAGTTGTGTCCAGTGTGGCAATTTTGCCAGTGAGGAGTACTGCAAGCCGATAGATCTTTTAGTGAATAAAGCAGAAGTTTGTCCAGAAGCGTTGCCATATTGCTTTGAAACGGTCAACTTAAGTGGCGGGAATCCAAACGTCATTAGAGGGTAAGTAAAAACATTGCTTCAATTGCCACTCCTTGATGTACATCAAGCATATGGTGCGATTTGTCCCTGTCTGTTTTCCAGAGCCCCAGTTTGGGGGAAAACCAGAATAGACCCTCGGCCTGCCCATCAAGCACATTGTATTAGTCGACGAATTTGGGACTGTACGGCAATATTCTATGCATAGTTTATTCCGTGAAATGTAGTATCAGGTCCATGCCGTACCAAGTCTAAGTAACTTATTACTCTAGAGGTAACAAATGTCCAAAACCAACGACAGGCAGAAAAAACGTCACCGACAAGGTCAACTGTTGAAACTTCTACATTTGAGAACACGTCGCTGACAGGCAATATCAATACGTTTATTTAACAATTCTGCACAGATATAATGTGTGTCCATGAAATTAATATGTTACAAACACTATACTCAACGACGATAGGATAACTACTTTCCTCCAACATGGAGCTCAGAGACTTTGCTCTCCCGCGAACTGCAACATCAGGATGACTGTAGGATAATTCCTTTCCTCCAACATGGAGCTCAGAAACTGCGGCATTAGGACATCATATCAATACAAGCTTCTGCCCTTCCTACCTTTTCTTGTAACTGTCTTCTCCAATTCTTCTGTCGGCAAGTGACGTTGTGTCTCTCGTTATATCTCATGTTAATTAGCGGTCGTCAGTAGTGTGAATCTCTGGATTGCACACAAAAGCGACATCCTTTGAAATTCGCCTAAGGGGCAAGGAACCAAGGTTAGTTGCGTATCCTT